TCCATCCATCCATCCATCCATCCATCCATCCATCCATCCATCCATCCATCCATCCATCCATCCATCCATCTATCTATCTATCTATCTATCTATCTATCTATCTATCTATCTATCTATCTATCTATCTATCTATCTATCTATCTATCTATCTATCTATCCATCTGTCTGTCTCTGTCTATCTGTCTATCTATCTATCTACTGCATCCATCCATCCATCCATCCATCCATCCATCCATCTATCTATCTATCTATCTATCTATCTATCTATCTATCTATCTATCTATCTATCTATCTATCTATCTATCTATCTATCTATCTATCTATCTATCTATCTATCTATCTATCTATCTATCTATCTATCTATCTATCTATCCATCCATCCATCCATCCATCCATCCATCCATCCATCCATCCATCCATCCATCCATCCATCCATCCAAAGCGATTGAGTCAGAGGACATGTTCGTGGATCAACAACCTTTGTCATTTCTAGAAACAACAATCCTATCAAGCAATAATAGATAAAATCCCAACCCTATCCTGCATCAAAAACGAATGATTGGTGGAAACTGATGTAGCTAAAGCATAATCCCAAACCTATAATCCTGACAGCTTATCGGGTTGTTGTTTCAGGACTAAAAAGCATGTAAATCCAGGAAAACGACCTTGGGAATATCACAAATGTCGAGCTCAGGCATCTTAAAGAGACAGTTCACCCAAAAATGCTGTCGTCATTAAGTCATTTGAGTTTCTTGCTTCTGTTGAACACAAAGGAAGATATACTGAAGAATGTTGAAAAAAGCATCCATTGACTTCTGTTCCTACTATCAATGTCAAAGGCTGATTTTCTCCAGCGTTCTTCAGAATATCTTGTTTTGTGTTCTACAGGCAGGGCTTAATTTGAGCTGATATTTTATCCCACCCATCAGATTATGCTACCAATACTGTATTTGAATGGTTTGGTTCTGAGGTTGGGGTTAGGGATTAGGTAGGTTAGAGCGATTTTACAGCTTCATACCATACTACTCCACATTAAAATTTACACTAGTAGCAAAATCCGATGGTTAACATAGAGCATGATCAAAATGTGCCACCTTCTTTTAGAGTTTTCGATAGTTTCTATAGTCTTTGGTATAATTCAGCCTTAACTGTGTTTTACTACTCTACCTTGGGTTGACCTGGCTGACTGGGATATTCAGGCGAGCGGCGATGTCCTCGACTGTCTCGTTGCCCTCAGAGATGATGCCCACACCTTTGGCGATGGCCTTGGCTGTGATGGGATGGTCGCCGGTCACCATGATGACTTTGATACCAGCTGAGCGGCATTTGCCCACAGCGTCTGGGACGGCGGCTCGGGGAGGGTCAATCATGGACATCAGACCCACAAAGCACAGGTTGTCTGTCTGGAAGTTAATGTCGTCGGTGTCAAACGCGAAGCCTTTGGGGTATTTGTCACCAGGCATCACCAAGTGGCAGAAACCTGGAAGCAGGAGAAAGATACTGGATTTATCCCACAGTCTTGAGGATTTACATTTATTAATTTACCAGATGCTTTTAGTCAATGCTCATACTCAGATGTATTTTAATTATGCACACTTCAATGATATTTTTTAAACAGTAAAGCATGCTAACCTACAGTATTCCAGCACCTCTAAATAACATACAATAAAGAATCAAGATGGCACAAAAATGCCCATGAATATCCAACACTTCGGTTTAAAACTGACTTCACAAGTATCTCTCTGTTTTTTTAACCTAGAACTCTTTCTCCCAGTCCTCCGAGCTCCAGGTAGGCGTTCTGGAAAGCCTCCTTCAACTCTTCATCCATGGGCTGCTCTTTGCCCTGCTGCAGGATGGTGGAGCAGCGGTCCAAGATGCGCTCTGGTGCCCCCTTCATCACAAGCAGGTAGTGGTTTTCTTCACTCTCGTCCAACTCGTGCACTGACAACTGGTGTGACGAGAACAGGAGTGTGTTAATGAGAGAAGAATAATGTGCTGTTTATGTGTTAAACCCAGAGACATTCATTCAATTTCTTTTGGGCTTAGTCCCTTTGTTAATCAGGGGTCACCACAGTGGAATCCGCTTTGCGCCGCGGCGCATGGTCTAACAGGGTTGAGCTTATTCTCTTAATGAGTTATAGGTGTGTTTTGAGAATAAGCCAATCAGAGTCTCATCTCCCATTCACTTTAAGAGTCAATTGCGTCACGCCATAGCGCATTTGCTATTTACATGGGCGACTTTGTTAGTGGAAAAACTGAACGCTTCACTAGAGAGAAAACAGTTAAACAGAGCATCTATTGAGAATGCTATTGAGAATGACGTGTTGTACGCACAGATATCCATTAGCCTATACATAATTAATTTTGTTTGTTAAGTGCAAAGATTTGTTTCAAAACTATTTCTAAATTCAGTTCTAATTTCCAGCAAACGAATAAATAAACAATAATAACGTTATTTCCAAATACACATGCTGCGCCCCATATGGTCTAAAACCTGACAGGTGGGCAAATCTAAGCTGGTTTCTAATAAAAAGTAAATAAATATGGATATAATAAATAATACTGCTTATAATAATACCATTATACAAAAGCAAATTGTCATGAATAAACTGAAAAAGCCCCCAGAGATGAAGAAGGCATGGAGGCGGTGGTTTTTATATTTATGTAGGCTAGAATATAATAATTTTTGTAATATTTTAATTCTTTAATTCTTTTTCATTTGTAAAGTTATTTGCGTATTGCTGTAAACCCTGTGTGTATTAAGCAATGTGTAAGCGAGGCTCACAAATAACGCGCTCTGCGCTGGACCATAGACCTGCCTTGATCTGTTCTATTGAACAGTCTATTTAAGTTCCTCGAAATAGCAATGCGCCTCAACACACCTCCTTTTTTAGACCAGAACGCCTATGGGTGCACATATGAGCGCAAATGCATTTGCTATTTAAACAGCGTGATGCAAAACATCAAAACGACTCTTGCGCCAAGCTGAAACTATTGCGTCGCGCATTACGCCGGGTGTATGATGGGGCCCTTAATTTTTCACCATCAATAAACAAATGCAATATTATTTTAACTTTTACGTTAAAAGTTAAGAGTTATATTAACTGAATAATAATCCCAGTTTTCTGAAACTGGATCTGACTTCCTAAATTCAGTCCGGATGCAAAACATTAAACGAACCTGATATTTGTTGGTGGAGTTGAAGGGAATTTCGGCCACTTTCTTGTTCTTGTCCCTCATGGCTTTGACGGAGCCGCAGGACAGCTCGATACACTTGAGAAGAGCAGATTCAGAGGCGTCCCCTGCGACATCCCTCTTCAGGATAGGCAGAGACTCCTGTCCCGCTTTAAACACGGCCCTGTTACAGAGAGCAGCCACGCGGGCCAGAGCCAACCATGTGCCAGAGCTCTTATCAAACGATGCACCTAATGGAGAAACATGGTATCAGTGTTACTTTACCATCTTAGGAGATACACTTATAATTTTTAATGATATTTTTAATTATTAGATATTTGTATATTCTGCATATTAAAGCAACACTATGCAACTTTTTCTCGCGCCTCCCCCTTGTGGCTGATTAGTGCTATTGCCTGCTATCAGGTACAAAACAACCTACAAAAAACAACACTTGTAAGAGATTTTAAATCTCAATGAGACTTCCTGGTTATATAATGGTTATGAATAATAAAAATAATAATTAAAACACGTGAACACGTGTTCTCAAACATTTAGCTTTAGAATCTATGTACAGTGCTCAGCATAATTAACTGCACCCCATTTTGAAAACGAATATTTTTATCCATTTCTCAGTGAATATAGGGAATATATTTTGGTGCATTTAAACAAAACAGATTTATTAAACAGATATAATTATTAAAATAATATTTTAGTCACCAAACATATTTAAAAATTTAAAGATATTACAAGTAAATTCAAGAAAAATGCTTTTTTTTTATTTTTAAAAATTTGTATTTAATATTTTTCTATAACAGGTAAATTTGGGTGTACTAGTTTTTGGACCGTTATCGTGAGTTATTTTGTTAGATGAGCTTCAGATTTGGCTTCAGTACTGACTAATCTAATGTATCTGCACAAATATAATATTGTATAGCTTCATATATATAAAGCTCTCTCTCTCTCTATATATATATATATATATATATATATATATAGAGGTGTAATCATATCTATATAGAGGTGTACTTATATATGCTGAGCACTGTACCTGGAATTTCCCAATGAACACCACTGCAATGTCCCAGCACTCACCAGACTGATCTTCAGTGGTGTCTGCCTCATGGATCTGATTGTCGAACCACATGTGAGCGACAGTCATGCGGTTCTGCGTCAGCGTTCCGGTTTTATCCGAGCAGATGGTGGAAGTGGATCCCAGAGTCTCCACAGCCTCCAGATTCTTCACCAGGCAGTTCTTACGGGCCATTCGCTTGGCTGTGAGAGTCAGACACACCTGAGAGATGCAAACAGAAGAAAGAAGGAGAGAAACGGAAACCCAGGACCAAAAAGAAGAGCAGTCGAGGCAGAAGATGAAAGGAAAAGGAGGTGGAGAGAAAGAAAAGCGAATTTTAGTGACAATGCATTATTGGTAATGAGGCAAAATGCAGAATCGTGCACTATTAAATCAGTGTTCAGTTAAAAAAAGAGGCTCTGAGGAGCAAAGCAGAGCATAGCACAGAAAGCAGAAAGACCTGAAACATACTCTACGCAATGTCCATCTTCAGTTAGACAGATGACGGACATCCAATTGATTTTCAATTGATCCAAAAAAAAATTTTCTTAGATTTTTTGTCATGTTTCTAGTCAAAAGGTCTAAAAAATTCTTAAATCAGGAAGAATTTTCTAGTCAAGCAAAACATATTTTCTTGTTTTCAGAAATAATATGACAAAATTAAGTGAGATTTTCCTTCAAATACGCAAAAAATATCTGCCAATGGGGTAAGCAAAACAATCTTATGTTAACGGGAAAAACAAGATTATTTTGCTTACCCCATTGGCAAATTATTTTGCTTATTTTAAAGAAAAACACACTTAATTTTGTTATATTATTTCTAAAAACAACACAATATGTTTTACTTGTCTAGAAAATGCTTCTTGGTTTAAGAATTGTTGGAAATCTGAACTAGAAACAATAAAAAAAATCTAAGTAAGATTTTTTTTTGCAGTGTGGATATTGATCCTTAAATCCCCAAATTGATTTTTTAATCTTTGCTGTTTTAGTTGATGAATGAAATATATATGTACTATATAATGGGTGCATAATGTCCACTAACCATAAAAAGCTCTGTGTTTTGTTGGTTTTAAAATTATCTATGTACATTTTACCGAAATTCGAACAATAAGTGTTGTTCCCAGTGGCAGCTGGGATTGAGTGGAGGTCATCATTTCTTTGTCTTTACTACAAGTTATAGCACAAAAAACGTGGTTGTTTGATAAATCTGTCACAAGGATAAATATAGAAAAATATTTATTTACTTAAAATTGAAGTAAAGAATGTCAATAAAAAGTACTGGAGTCGAAACATTCACAAAAAGATTTGCATAAAAATGACTATTGTTTAAATGGCAGCAGGGATTGAGTGAAGGTCATCTTTTCCCTATCTTTACTACAAGTTATAGCACAAAAACATTACAGTTGTTTGATAAATCTGTCACAAGGATAAATAAAAAAATAAAAAAATATTTACTTCAATTTTAAGCAAATACAGATAATAAAAAAGACCTTGAATCTACAAACATTCACAAAAATATGTTGATGATATTGTAAAAACTGTATAAACTTAACCTTTTTTTAATTTCAGTGCTTTTATTATACTATCCAAATAAAAATAATAATTAAATGTAATATTTTAAGCCTTGTTGCTAATTGTTGTCTTTAAATTATATTAACGTCCAAGTTATAGGACTTTGTACACATTGTAAAAAATGACACGACAAAAAATTCAAGACTACATATGTTTTTGTTACTTTTACTTATTTTAAGTTAATCAGCTTTCAACTACATTTTTTAGGTTATGCAAAGTTGAACTTAAAATTTTATTCCGTTTAATAAGTTGAAATGACTAATAGAAAAAAGGTTTTAAAAACTTTTGTTTAAAAGCTTTTAATTATAATTTTTACTTATTTTTTCTGTTATCCTAGGGATGTCCAAACTCAGTTGGTGGAGGGCCGGTGTCCTGCAAATTTTAGTTCCAACCCCAATTAAACACCTGAACCAGCTAATCAAGCTCTTTCTAGGTATACTAGAAACTTCCAGGCAGGTGTGTTGAAGGAAGTTGGAGTTAAACTATGCAGAGCACCAGCCCTCCAGGACAGAGGCTGTTTCTCAATATGCATTCTTCAGCGGTCTCGTGTTCCCGTGTAACGTCATCATCAGCTGCCAAAGTTCAGTTTCAATACTCAAGACCGCAAAAACAGAGGACGCGTAAAACTTCCCAGATGTGTTCTTGATATGGAGGACGCACCGATGCAGAGCACTGGTCTCGCACTAGAAATTTGTATTAAAATGTCTTTTATTTATATTGTGCAACGTATATTTATAATGTTTTTAAGCGTAGTATATATTGTGAAAAGGGGAATAACAATAAATCGTTGTGTGAATGCTGTAATGTTTCAACGATTTTCAGTTAAAAATGCGTGATGGTCATGTGACCATCAGGAAGAACGCAGCATCTCATTTCTCACAGGACGCGTTCTCTGTTTTCGTGGTCTCCCGAGTTTGCTTTTCCGAGAACACCTAGCTAGACCGGTCTCCACAAGAATGCAAGTCCGTTCTCTGCGTTCTTGCAATTGAGAAACAGCTAGTGTTTGGTCACCCCTGGCCTAGCAGTAAGAGCTTGATTAGCTAGCCCAGTTGTGTCTGATTAGGGTTGGAACCAGGGGCGTTGCTAGGGTCGAAAGGTATAAGGGGGTTAGCCCCAAAGAAGTGGGATATGGCATCATAATTGAGCAAGATTTTGATTCAGTGCCCACAACTGGACGATCACAGACTGCTGATCAGATAGACTGCTTAGACTACCAAGCAATGAACCTTTTGGCATGATGACTCTCACTCATTTCCAAATGCATCAACGCCCAACACTGAGTTTGCAGCGAGCTTAGAGTATGTTTCAGACCTAGTTGTGCACCGCAGCCACAGGCTCAATGCACAGCCAATCACAGCACAGCCAGAGCCTCGATAATGTGCGTCTCTAAATGTGGCAGCCGCTAGCTTGCACAGGCAACTAGAGATACCACAGAGTAATACTTTTCAGATTGTCAACAGTGGCTGAGAGTCTGTAAAAGAACACAGGGAGGAGGAAGAGAGGAACAGACAGAGGGAGAGAAAGAGACAGCGATAGAGTCACGAAGAGTCACAGATATGAGGAATTAGAGAGAGGGAATACAGTTCAAACACACAAACACAATGATATACAACACTACATGTGCGTTCACTGACACACAATCACAGACAAGAAGCCACAATACTTTTCACTAACACTGTAGAGAGTGATCACGAGGAATTAACACAAGATGAAAAAGGAAATTAAAAAAATAAATAAAAATAGTAGCACATCTCATGGAATATGTTCGGAACGACACACCACTAATACACAATACAAATGATTTAGAAATGTTCATTCATTTTCCTTCGGCTTAGTCAATGATTTATCAGGGGTCCCCACAGTGGAATGAACCATCAACTACTCTGGCATATGTTTTACGCAGCGCAAAGGAAAGTGACTGATTGAATTACAAAGAAACAATTATGATATTATAACCATTACTAATTCTGATAAGTCCCTGATTTATCTAGGGTCGCCAGAGTGAAATTAACCGCCAACTATTCTGGCCTGTTTTATGCTGCGGATGCCCTTCCAGCTGCAACCCAGTACTAGGAAATGATTTATAAACAATAACTTGTACATTTGTAAAAACAATTACAAAGTAGGGCATGCACCTCATAAAATATATGTCATAGTAATTAGTGGTTCATTTCACCGTGGCGACCCCTGATAAATCAGGTAAAGTGATTAAGTGAATTACAGAGAAACAATTATGATATTATTAACAATAATAATCCTTTGGCTTTGTCCCTGATTCATCAGGGGTCGCCGCAGCGGTATGAACCACCAACCACTCTGCCATATTTTTTATGGAGCAGATGCCATTACAGCCGTAAGTACTGGGAAATTATTTAGAAACAATAAGTTGTAGATTTGTAAAAACAATTACAAAGAAGAGCATCCACCACATAAAACATATGCCAGAGTAATCGGCGGTTCATTCCACGGTGGCAAAATCAGGGACTAAGCTGAAGGAAAAGAAGTGAGGGAGTGAATTACAGAGAAACAATTAGGATTAATGAACTATTTATTTGAATAACTTTCGGCGTAGACCCTGATTTATCAGGGGTCGCCACAGCAATATGAACCGCCAAGTACTCTGGCATATGTTTTACATAGCAGATGACCTTACGACTGTAAGTACTGGAAAATGATTTAGAAACAATAACATAGAATGGCATTCGCCACATAAAACATATCCCAGAGTAATCGAAGGTTCATTCCACTGTGGCAACCCCTGATAAATCAGGGACTAAGCCCAAAAAAAGTACATTACAGAGAAACAATTAGGATTAATGAAATATGTACTTTAGTAATCCTTCGGCTTAGTCCCTAATTTAACAGGGGTCGCCACAGTGGAATGAACTGCCAATTACTCTGGCATATGTTTTATAACCCTATTTTATTATTTAATAACCTTTAAAATATATGTTATTCCTATGATGACACAGCTACTATTGGCCGATACACTTTTCCCCATTTAGGACTATACGAGTGACACGTCTTGTGTATTCTATAGTCTTTGTGAACCCTCAGTAGGTAGTATGTAGTGTTCATACTGCAGTGTGTTAGTGTTCCAGATTCCGAACAAATCCATAAACGAAAAATACACACAAGAAAACGACAAACACATATTAACTCACAAATTATACTGAAAAACATGACAATAATCACAAAAGGACACTAACAAAGACCCTGAAACACACTCCTGACACAGTGAGAAAGACAGAGAGTGAAATAAAGGTTGGATGCTCACAGTGACGGTGGCCAGCAGCCCCTCGGGCACGTTGGCCACAATGATGCCGATGAGGAAGATGACGGCCTCCAGCCAGCTGTAGCCCAGGATGATGGACAGGATGAAGAAGGTGACGCCCAGGAAGACGGCCACGCCGGTGATGATGTGGATGAAGTGCTCGATCTCTTTGGCGATGGGAGTCTTTCCGGTCTCCAGGCCGGAGGTCAGGGTGGCGATGCGGCCCATGACGGTGCGGTCACCGGTGCAGACCACAATACCGCGAGCAGTACCTGAGGGAGACATTTAAACACAGTTGTCAGGCAACAGTGTGTGAATATATCCAGCTTCTAATGGTAAAAGATACATATTTATTTTTTTTTATAATCACAATGGATGAAAACAGTCTGCAGAAACACTTTGATTGACATTCTCCCTTTGTGCGTGTCATCAGAGTGTGAAAGCCCCGACCATTAGTGACAATCTTTCCCTTGCTAGCACAGGATGTTAATCTTGTTTTTAAATCTGCCACTATGCTGACACATAGGCATTTGTAGACATAAAAATCCAAATTTTGGTTTCATGATGACTTAAAATTTCATGTCACGTTTTGGATCGATTGAATTTCATTTGACATTGAGAAACATTGACAAATAATTTCATCTCACATTCATTAATTCGGATTAGTCCCCTGTTTATCAAGGGGTTGCCACAGCGGAATGAACCGCCAACTATTCCGGAATATGTTTTACACAGTATGAAACATCAATACACTCTCTCATTCATGCACTCACTCATACACTACGACCAATTTAGTTTATTCAATTCACTATAGAGCATATGTTTGGACTGTGGGGGAAACCGGAGCACTCTGAAAAAATCCATGCCAACACGGGGAGAACTTGCAAACTCCACACAGAAATGCCAACTAGCCCTGCCGGGACTCAATCCAGCGACCTTCTTACTGTGAAGCAACAGTGCTAACCACCGAGCAACCCATTTAATCTCACATAACGTGATATTTTGCATATTGTGTAATCCTTAAATCCACCACCAGGTGGCAGTAGACAGTCACACTGGAGCTGAATATGACTCTAAAGAAAGGGCATTGTCTGAGCTCACGATCCACTGCCACCCTGCTGACAGCACACAGAGAACAGGCCATATGTAACATCTCATCAGCTATCAAAACAACAGCATTACACAACTGACAAGTGCTGAGACAAACACATTCATACTGCACAAACACACACAGGGAAATCACAGGCGTTTCTGAGAGACTTGAGTGTAGCTGGTTTCATTAAAAAAGACAGTACTTATTATTGCTATTATTAGTCCTCTGCCTATTCTCCCAACCTCTTCCTTTTCCTCATTATTATTATTTATTTATAGTAATTTTTATTATTACAACCATTATTAACATTACTATGTATCACATCCCTCCTTCTCCAACTGTTTTGTTAATATTTGTTGTAATAACTGTTTTCGTTAATAATTAATAATAATAATTAATAAAGAATTATTAATAATAATAATACTAAAAGACAAAAATTTACACCACCCTCTTAATATTCATGTTACACTTTACTTTATGGTCCTTTTCTTGAACACTTCCACCCATATAACTAGTAACTAGACACATACAGGACACAAACACTCACACATACACACTTGATCTTGTATTCGTATCTTGTATTTTGTACATGAATTGTCTCCTGTAATGTGTATATGTCTTTGCCTATTAGCAATGAATGAAAACAAACACAAAAATAAGTACACCCTAAAAAACCTTTTTGAGTTCCTTTCTTTTGCTGAACACAAAAAATGTATTTTAAACAATGTTTAAAAAAAGAGTAGCCAATTTTTTCCTACTGATGAAGTCAATTTCTGTGTGGAGTTTGCATGTTCTCCCTGTGTTCGTGTGGACTTCCAGTAATAAAGTAAGTAAGTAATGAAGCCAATGTCAACTGCTATCAAACATTTTTTAAAAATCTTCAGTGTTCAACTGTAAGACAGAAACGCATTAAAGTTTGGAAACACTTGAGGTAGAGCAAACGGCAAGTTAATTTTCATTTCTGAGATAACTATGGGTCTTATCATAAACCCGGCGCAATAAGGCGCAAGACGTCTTTGCCCTGACGTAATGCTATTTTCAGACCAGCGCAACTTTAATTTTCCTGTTTTCTTACACGTTGTTTAAATAGCAAATCCATTTGTGCCACTTTGTGCACCCATGGGTGTTCTGGTTTAGAAAAGAGGTGTGTTAAGGCGCATTGTTGGCGCATTGCTGTTTTGAGTGGCTAAAATAGACTGTACAATAGTCATTTGCAGAGCGCGTTAGTTGTGCGCCTCGCTTACACATTGTTTAAAACACGCAGATTGTAGAGGAATATGCAAAAATCTTTAAAGATGAAAAAGTATTAAAGATTTAAAATATTACAGAAATTATTATTTTCAACATAAATATTAACCACTGCTTCTATGCCTTCTTTATCACAGGGGCTTTTTTTCAGTTTATTCACGACAATTTGTATTTGTATAATGTTATTATTATTAGAAGTATTATTTATTATTTGCAAATTTATGTTTGTTTTATTAAAAACATGTTTAGATTTGTCCACCTGTCAGGTTTTGTACCATATGGGGCATAAGAATAGGACGTGTGTTTGGATATAACTGAGTTTTTTGACACACTTCGTTATTATTGTTCATTTATTCATTTGCTGGAAATTAGAACTGAAATTAGAAAAAGTTTTAAAGCAAATATTTATGTAGGCTAAGGCCATTTTCTTATCCACGAAAGAGAGAAAGAGAAAGTAAAGAGGCCGAATGGAGGAGGCTCATTCTTTATTCTCCCACTGCAGATGTTTAACTGTTAGCTTTGTTTAACTGTTTTCTGGCTAGTGAGGCTTTCAGTTTTTCCACTTACAAAGTCCGCCATGTAAATAGCAAAAAATGTAACTGACTCTTAAAGGGAATATGACATGAGACTCTGATTGGTTTATTCTCAAAACACTGAAAAGCACAACCCTGTTAGACCATGCGCCATGGTGCAGATCATATTTTTTCATCCATAAAATAGCAAAAGTGGATTCGGACACGTCCTTAATGCTTTTGTGCCATGCGCTTTAGACTTTGCGCCTAGATCGTTAAAATATAGCCCTTTATCTTTTGAAGCAGCTAGATTTGTTCCCAGGAATATTAATTGTTATTTTGAAGCAAGTGATGAAGCTTCACTTGTAACTCTCCAGTGACGTCTTTAGCTCCTGTGGTGTTATTCATTTATTCGGCCAGATCTGAATTAATTAGTGTCTTATCATTCAAATAAACCTAAAAGAGTGGTGCAGAATCATAAATGTGTGGAAAAACAGAGTGAAAAACCAAAGCGTGTGAGCAATTGCGTGGGCAGCTGACAAACAGCAAGATGGG